AGAGCGAGACTCCCTCTCAAAAACAAAACAAATAAGCAAAAAAAGAAAAAAGAAAACATAGCAGAGGTGCAGTGGCACACACTTGTGGTCCCAGCTACTCTGGAGGTGAAGGCAGGAGGATTGCTTGAGCCCAGATTTCGAGGTTGCAGGGAGCCCTGAGCACACCACTGTACTCCAGCCTGGGTGACAGAGACACTGTCCCAAAAATAAAACAGAAATGAAGTGAACAGCTAATATTATAACTTCCCAGTACAGAACCCCTGGAACTAGCACATCATAAACATGTACATGCATGCATTAATATGTATTTGCAGGATTCATATTCTGTGGAAGAATTACAGTGGTTTTTAGGAGCTCCAGACTCCCAAGATAGCCTTCTTTGTTGACTGTTGTAATTTAGGAATATTTTCCTTCTTTTTTTCTGTGTTATCATAAATTATTGGATTAAATAATACTTTGTATATTAATTGCTTATCTCTCACAGAAGTAGCTGTAGATAAAGATACTTGATATTTTTTGGTCTGGCTATGTTAGAATTTTCTGTGATAGGTTTTTTTTATGTTTATATGATGTTAACTAATTGGAATAGTTATAAATTCAGCTATAAGAGATGCTGTAAATCTAGACTAGTAAGTTCCAGGGTCCTTGGATTGAAATATTTTATTTATTTACCAAATATTAGTTAATGCAACTATATGGTTCCTTACCTAGAACCTTAATTTCTAGGCGTGAATAATACAATTTATGCGTAAGAAACAAGTTGCAGCCGGGCGCAGTAGCTCACGCCTATAATCCCAGCACTCTAGGAGGCCGAAACAGGCGAATCACCTGAACTCAGGAGTTTGAGACCAACCAGCCTGACCATCATGGAGAAACCCCGTCTCTACTAAAAATACAAAATTAGCCAAGCGTGGTGGTGCATACGTATAATTCCAGCTACTCAGGAGGCTGAGGCAGGAGAATTTCTGGAACCTGGGAGGCGGAGGTTGTGGTGAGCTGAAATCCCACCATTGCACTCCAGCCTGGGCAACAAGAGGGAAACTCCATCTCAAAAAAAAAAAAAAGAAAGAAAGAAAGAAACAAGGCTAAAACTATGTAAACTCAAGTACAGTATTTCTGCTAAAAATTCTAAATAGCACTACATTAAAAGAAATCAGAATGAAAATAATTTACCATTTATTTGAGGATTTTTCAGCTAAGACCTTAAGATGTAAATGCTCTAGAGCATAAAAAATCAGGATTGGGTATTATTAAATAATTGAATAGGTTTTTTTTTAGCTTTTATTATAATAGATCATTGTAGTTGCTGCCTTAAAATATAACTGCCTAAAAGGAAAAATTATATTTGTGGAACTTTATCTTTTGTAACCTAATGTATTGCTATTTGCATGTATCTTTTATTTCATTTTGTTTTGTTTTATTTTATTTTATTTTGAGACGAGGTCTTGCTCTGTCACGCAGGCTGCAGTGCAGTGGCACAATCATTGATTCCCTGCAGCCATGACCTCCCAGGCTCAAGTGATCCTCCCTACTCAGCCTCCCAAGTAGCTAGGACTACAAGTGTGTGCACCATCACACCCAGCTCTTTTGTTAAGGAGACTTTAATAAAAATAAAATCTTAGTCTGATTTGTGAGCTATAGATTATCTAGTATTGTTATGAATCAGTTAAACATTTTAAATAGTATAATGTTGTGGAAAGCAAATAAACTTTAAACATTTTCTGCACCAAAGCGTGATAAAGACTGATTTTACATTGAACTACAGGTTTCTGTGGATCGCTTCTGAAGTTCTATATGAAAATTGTGCTTAAGTGAATTTTCTGTTAGAAGAACTTGGTTGCTACTGCCTTGTCAAGATGATTGCAACACCTTTGAAACATTCAAGAATTTACTTACCTCCAGAGACATCTTCTCAAAGGAGAAATCTACCCATGGATGCAATCTTTTTTGACAGCATTCCTTCAGGCACACTTACTCCTGTAAAAGATCTGGTGAAATATCAGAACTCCTCTTTAAAATCGAATGACCGTAAAAAGAATCAGTTCCTAAAAATGACAACTTTGAACAATAAAAATATATTTCAATCAACTATGCTAACAGAGGCTACTACCTCTAACAGTTCTCTTGATATCAGTGCTATAAAGCCCAACAAGGATGGATTAAAAAATAAAGCAAACTATGAATCACCGGGAAAAATATTTCAAAGAATGAAAGAAAAAGTACTGCGTGACAAGCAAGAACAGCCACCAAGAAACAGTAGTTTGTTGGAACCACAGAAAAGTGGAAATAATGAAACCTTCACTCCTAACAGAGTTGAAAAAAAAAAATTGCAGCATACCTACCTATGTGAAGAAAAGGAAAACAACAAATCATTCCAGTCAGATAACAGTTCACTAAGAGGTTAGTTTTATGTGTTAGCTAAAAAGCTGTAATGTCTTAAGTGTTTAATGTTTCAGACACTGGTTTTGGTACTCAGAATATAGCAGTGAACAAAATGGACAAAAATCCTTGCCCTTGTGTAGCTCACATTCATGTGGTGGAAAGACATAATTAACATATTAAATAATTTTTATGGCATAGTAGAAGAGGAAAAGTGGAAAGAGAAAAAGCAGAATTAGGATAATGGGAAGAGTTGGAAGGGTATTTAATTTTCAGTGGGGTGGTCAGAGTAAGCTTCAATAATTTGAATTTGGGAATTTGAGGCCACAAAATTGAATATGATGATAGATACGTGTATCTTGAGGAATGGGGAAGGATGATCTAGGCAGCTGTTACAAATGCCTTGAAATCGCATTCCTGAGATGTTGCAGGACTAGCTATAAAGTTAGTGTGTCATGGAGCGAGTAGATAGAGCTCAGGAGGAAGGCATAAATAAGAGTGGGTCAGATAATATAAGGGCTTTATAGGTAAATGTAAGAGTTTTGGCTTTTACTGTGAGCAGAATAAGCCATTGGAGGGTTTTGAGCATGTGAATGACAAGATCTAACTTACGAGGTTTTTGTTGTTGTTTTTTAATTAACCATTGTGTACAATGACTTATGTTTTTAAAATATCATTCTGGCTGTTCTGAAATAGAGTTACTGCAGTAAGTCAGATGACAGCCAGTGTTGGCTTGGTTCAGGTGTTAGTAGTGCAGATAGTAAACGTACAGATAGTAAATGGCTGGACTCTGGCTGTGTTTTAAAGGTAGAGCCAATAGGATTAGCTCATAGATTGGGTGTAGAATGTAAAATAAAAAGATGTAAAGGATAGCTCCAGGGTGTTTTTTTGTTTTATGTTTTTGGTTGTGGCCTAAGCAACCAGGAGGGTGATTTAACTGAAATGGGACAAACTGAAGGAGGAATGGAGTGTGAGCTCATTAACTAATATTTTTGTTATGTTAATTTTGATAATCTCTATTAAAAATTTAAATTTAGGTAGGGTGTTGGAAAAAACTAGTTGGAATTTAAGGAATTGATCAAGGTGAGAAAAGTACATTGGGGCATCATTAGCACCTAAATGGTATTTTAAAAGCAATGAGATTAGATGAGGTCATCAAGGAGTAAGTATAGAAAGAAAACATTCAAGATCTGGGTCCTGGGGTACTCCAGCATTTGGAAGTTAGAAGAAAGATTAGAAAGGCCGGCCAGGCACGGTGGCTCACGCCCATAATCCCATCACTTTGGGAGGCTGAGGCGGGAGAATCACCTGAGGTCGGGGTTTCAAGACCAGCCAGACCAACACGGAGAAACCCCATCTCTACTAAAAATACAAAATTAGCCAGGTGTGGTGGCGCAAGCCTGTAATCCCAGCTACTTGGGAGGCCGAGGCAGGAGAATCCCTTGAACCCAGGAGGCAGAGGTTGTGGTGAGCTGAGATCATGCCATTGCTCTCCAGCCTGGACAACAAGAGCAAAACTCCAGCTCAAAAAAAAAAAAAAAAAGGTAAAAAGAAGAGTAGAAAGGCCACTGAGAAGATGGTGAGGAAGAAGTAAAACCAAGAGAGTGATACTGTGAAAGCCAAGAGAATGAAGTACTTTAAGGTGGGAGTTGACAGCTGTCTGATGCTCCTAATTGGTCAAGTAGGCTGAGATTCTGCTGCTCGATTTAGCAATGTGAAGGTCATTGGTGACTTTGATGGAGGGCAGCTTTGGTGGAATGGTAGCAACGAAAACATTGCGTGAAAGGGTTCAAGAGAGAATGTGACAAGAGGAGTTGACAATGGTGAACATAAACAGCCCTTTTTTTGAGGGTTACAAAGAAATAATGGCAAGTGTAGTTTAAGGTTTTATAATTTTTAATACTTGGTGAAATGCAGAATTTTTATATGCTGTTGGGAATAATGAAGTAGGAAGAAAAAAATTGAAATTGCTAGTATGATGCCCTTCAGTAGTTGAGAGGAAATATAATCCAATGCATCATTAGAGGTTTGACCAGAACACAAACAGAACAATTGTTAACAGAAAAGAAAGACATTTACACAGATGTTGGTGGGTTATTATTGTATGACTTCACAAATAATTTAAAATAAGAAGTAAAGTCATCAGCTGAGCAAGTATGGAAAACAGGTATTGAAGTTTGAGGAGGTAGAGGTTTGAATAGTTTGGGAGAGGCCTAAATTTGATTTCCTGGGTAACGCAGAAGATCTGTTTAAGATTTGTGGACATGAATTTGAAATGGAACCAGTAAATATGACTGTGAATTTTCCTTTGGCCCTGTTTAGCTGCTAAGGTGCTGGTGTAGAATAGGGAGGAAGCTGTATTTAACTGGGTTATAATTTTCCAGATAGAATGAAGTGACAGAAGGACAAAGGAGGGTGTGTGTGAAGGAGTCACGATGAAATTTAAGCTGATTAATGAGGGCAAAGGATCTGAAGGAGATGAGGGATTGTGAAGTGTACATTTTGTTTGGATAATCACTGGATTTGAGAGAATGATCTGGAAAGATGACACTGCAACAATTGAAATTGAGATTTTAATGAGTTTCAGTCGTTGATAATGAAAGAGATTTTACTTGTATTATCTCTTTTAATCCTTTCAACAAACACTATGTGTAGATACCCATTAGTGGTCTATAAATGGGGATTATAAAGAGTAAGTCCGTTTGCTGTATGTCTCATAGGTAACAAGTGATAAGTTGATAATTGAATATAGGTATCTCTTAGCAAGCCCGTGCTCTAAACCACTACACAGTAGGTTGTGGGTATACTGTTGCATTTCCAAGACAGCGACATATTCTAACACAGAGTTTTCTAAGGAAATTTGGGGGTAGAAGTGGGGAGACTTACAGTCATCTGTTTCTCATATAGCCTGGGAGAAAAGGAAGAAGCAAATGAAATAATGCATATTAAAGTGTTCAAATATAATAAGGTAGCATTTGAGAGTAAGAAATACCTGAGTGTTTTGAGAATCTGGTGACCCTTTCCCCCAGAAAATGTAAACACAAATACAAATACAAATTTTGTATATAGTTTTAGAAACCTTTTAGAGAGTCTGCATGAACTTCGGACTCCCACATAAGTGGATAAATATAACTTGTTGCATTTGATTGAATTACTACTGAATTGCCTTGCCATTTCCAGTAGAATGAGTTAAAGATATAGAAACTTATTGTTTCTTTTTGTGACACGTTGTTATAATGAAATCTTTATGTTAAGATTTCTGAGACCAGAGTGGCATACTTATTAAAGCATAGTCACTACCAGTCTTTTCAAGTATAAGATTTAAAATTAAACATATAAGATAATTCTTCTCAGGCTCAAATTTTAAGTCTATTATCATCCCCTTTTTGTGTGAAAGAAACTACATTCGAGAAACATTAAACTTTAAAGATCTAGGAGGTAAAGCAGAATAAAATGTAAGCAGTGCTATTAGTTCTTATTTGTCTAGTTGAGAAACCTACAACTTGTGAGCATTTGAAGACCTACTAAAAATTGTCTAAAGGATATAAATTATGGCTGAGTCTGCTGTTGCGTCTCAACATTTTAATTTTTAAGGAGTAAGTTACAACTCTTCGACTGTCAACTGTCTTTCATGCTTTAGAAATTCACAGCAACCAGAAACAGAATCGGAATTTTCAAGACTGGGTGAAACTTTATATTGTAATCTTAACATACACATATCCAATTTGTGGCAGCACCAGAATTCCAGATCTCTAGGTTTCTAAGTCTAATACTTTTGTCTAGAGCTGGCAGGTTGTGTCTTGGAGACGGTTTTAAAAAATTCTTCCTCACCATAATGTTGGTATAGAGAATGGGGTAAAGGTATTAGAGGATAATACAGCCAAAAATATAAAAATGTATGTAACTGACATATATTGCGAAAGTACTATATTGATCTGATCATTACTAAATCTAAGTGTCTGTATTTCAAGAATTTTAAAAGATGTTTTTTTCTTAGTAACTAATACAATTCAACTTCTTCTTTCTTTAAAAAATGAAACCTTAGCCTCGGTCCAAGGAGTTCCTCTAGAATCATCAAATAATGATATTTTCCTCCCAGTCAAACAAAAGATTCAGTGCCAGCAGGAAAAGAAAGCACCACTGCACAATTTAACTTATGGTAAACTATTTTTGGTTTGTTTTTAGTTTGTTACTTAAATATATAGTTAAATGTTCTAGGTAATTATTTTCCTTGTGTGGGCATTAAACTTTGGCTGTAGACAAAAGCTTGAATCGTAAAAGAGACACTCAGAAAGACTGGGCAGGAGGGTGGAACATTCCTAACCTAAATTTATCTCTTAGTTTCCTATGATCCTTATATAATTTTTTTGTTTTGTTTTGTATTTTTTGCAGAACTTCCAACTCGGAACCAAGAACAGGAAAATTTTTTGACTACAGAAGCCCCAAGCAAGAGATTAACTAGAGCTCAGTTGGCTAAACAAATTCTTCACTCAAAGGAGAATGTAGTTGCAACCACTGGGTCCAAAAAGGACACGTTTGTTTTAGAAGGCATTGATTCTGCTGATGAACAATTTCAAAATACTAATGCTGAGACTCTCAGTACTAATTGTGTTCCTATTAAAAATGGCAGTCTGTTAATGGTTTCTGATAGTGAGAGGACAACAGAAGGGACTTCACAGCAGGAAGTTAAGGAAGGAAATGACAAAACAGTGCCTGGGGAGACAGGTCTTCCAGGTTCCACAGAAGATACCTGTAAAATTGTACTTGCAACACCAAGACTTCATATAACAATACCTCGGAGGTCAAAAAGAAATGTTTCAAAGCTTTCTCCAAGAATATTTCAAACTGTTACAAATGGAGTTAAGAAAAATCAGGTGGGAAAACTTTTAAGACAGATATTTATTTCTATTTTTGCCCCATTCTTCAAGAGCTTGAGCTTTTAATGTTCTCTCATTATTATTTTTTTTTTTCTAGCTAGGATTTGAACCTGTATGCTTCATTATTAACAGTGTCTTCATTATCATGTTTTATTATTTACTGCAGTGACAGGGTGACATAGTGAAAAGAACAGTGAGTTGAATGTAAGAAGAGCCACGTGTTAAGTCTTATCTTGCTCTATTACTAATTGTGTAGTCTTCAATAATTTACCTGTTCCCTTTGGTGATGAACATTGAATTCATTCCTACTCTTTTTTTCTGATACGGTACTACTAAAATAGTTAGATCAGTTAAGATAGGAAGGAACTGTAGCATCTGAAGATTTGAGAATTTTTCCTAAATTAAATAGAGTAATCAATAAAAGACTTCAGAGCATTGAACTGTTACCTTAGGACAAATTCTCTGAAGAAAGTGGAATGGAAGTACAAGCTTAAGGAGGAAGATGCAGTGTAAAATTTCCAATTGTTAAAGGTTTGCCCATTAATTATTTATTTATTTTTGAGCAGGAGTCTTCTTCTGTCACCCAGGCTGGAGCACAATGGCACAATCTTGGCTGACTGCAACCTCCACTTCCTGGGTTCAAGCAATTCTCCTACCTCACCCTCCTGAGTAGCTGGGATTACAGGCACCTGCCACCATGCCCAGCTAATTTTTGTGTTTTAGTAGAGGCGGGGTTTCACCATGCTGGCCAGGCTGGTCTCTAACTCCTGACCTCAAGTGGTCCTCTTGCCTTGGCCTCCCAAAGTGCCAGGATTAGAATCATGAGCCACGACGTCTAGCCATTAATTCTTAAATGTATGGTGGTGGTTATCAAATTGAGATGGTGTATAAATTCCATCTAAATTTTAATTAATTTTTTAGATGAGGCCTTACTCTGTTGCCCAGGCTGGCCTCTTGGGTTCAAGCAATCCTCCCACTTAAGCCTCCCTTGTAGCCATCTAAATTTTAAAGAGTGACATACCAGTTATGGTTTTATATCTCAATATATTCACTAGAAATCCCATTATTTGAAAATATGTAAACTTTATATATTTACTTATTTATTTATTTTATTTATTTTGGAGTCTCACTCTGTCTCCCAGGCTGGAGTGTGGTGGCGCAATCTCAGCTCACTGCAACCTCCGCCTTCCAGGTTCATGCAAATCTCCTGCCTCAGCCTCCTGAGTAGCTGGGACTACAGGCGCATGCTTCCATGCCCGGATAAATGGTTTTTTTTTTTTTTGTATTTTAGTAGAGACGGGGTTTCACCGTGTTGCCCAGGCTGATCTGAACTCCTGAGCTCAAGCAATCTGCCTGCCTCAGCCTCCCAAAGTGCTAGGATTGCAGGTGTGAGTCACCATGCCTGCTCTGAAAATATTTAAAACTTTTAATGAGAAGTTTTAGATGTTGAGTTAAAAATATGTGAGATGGGTTAAGCAAAAAAGTTTGAAGACAAACTGTTCTAAGAGGCCCCACAGTACTAATTTAATCATCTGTATAGTGCTATTTATCTCAGTTACCACAAGAAGTCCAAGCTTTCCAAAACTCTTATCCCTATTTAATTCTGTACTTCCACTAATTCTGTCTCAATTTCTCACTCATACCTAACTCTCCATACCTTACATTGTGTCCTTTTGAACTCCAGTTATGTCATCAGCAAAATGTTTTACTGCCAGTCTTCTATGAAGATTCCTTACACTGCTCTAACTAAAATGTGGCTTCTACAAACAACCCACTCAAGTGGTGGCTCCTTTTTCTCTCATATCCCACATTCCACTGGACCTAGAGATGACATAAGGTGTAGCTCTGTTGCTCCTCATTGCTACTTCAGGCATTTTTTTCTTCCTTCTCTCTAAAGCTTCTTTGAAGCACATGCCGTAAGACTTTACCAGTTGTATTCATCTGTAACACAACCTCCTAGTCATGACCTTGCATTTCTAAGTATTTGACACCTGTTAGTTTTCCCTCTACTACTTCTGTCATAATCTCCGGTTACATCTACACTCGTTTAGATGATCCATCCAACTATCTTTTTTTGATAGTCAGTGACCTTTCTCCTACCTTTACCCTCTACCGTATACATTTCCATTGCTTCTCATTACCAAATAAACATGCACTGAATTTTTCAAACATGCCACTCTCTCACTGCCAACTCCTGTAGTTGAGATCATTCCCCTCTAGTACTGTTCCCCTACCCTTCACCGTCAATACTCTGACCCCTCTAAGACAGCGGTCATCCATCAACTCTCATGTCCTCATTTCGCTAGTCCATCACTATAACTATTAGAGGTTTTAAGTCTCAACTCTCTTTTTTCCCCGTTTGTCCTCCTCTGGCTAAATGCCAGCCCTGGTTAAATTTAACTGTACAGTCCTGTACCTGACAGCTGGAAGTGGCTAGAGCAAAACACACAACCATATTGGCTTATCTCATTTTAAATTTGACAACAAACCTTAAATGGGCTGTCAGTATTGCCCCATTAGTCCTGGTACATTTCACTTGTCAATCTACTCTCTGACTTTCCTGGAAGAGTAACTCACCTTTTCTCTCCTAAAACCTCCAGATCTTCTCATTCCCATTTCATTGAGAACTTCATAATAATCCCATCAGAAAATCTACCTGCTGCTGTTTTCACATACTCTGCTTTTTCCCTCCTATTAAAATGGATGAACAATTTATGCTCCTTTTCAGAGTCCATTCATTTCCTTTTACCTTAGGTGGTAAGGACATTGCCCTTTCAATTGCCCTGTCAATTTTTTTTTCCTGGATTATGCTCATTAACATATAAACATGTTGAAACATGGCCTGCATTTTTTAAAAACATGCAAAGACCCATCTTTCCTTTATCCCCTGTCCAACTCCAGCTGCTACACTATTTTTTGTTTCCCTTTATATAGCAAGATATTTTGAAAGAGGTATGTGGTTTTAAGTTCTCCATTCCCGCTTGAACAGGTTTCACCTTAGACTATTCATAAAATATCCACTATTTTATGAATATTGCCCTTTCCAAGTTCAGCAGTCATCTCCATAACACCAAATCCAGTGACAGATTCTTATTTCTTTTTTTTTGTTTTCTTTTTTTTTGAGACAGTCTTGCTCTTGTCACCCAGGCTGGAGTGCAGTGGTGCGATCTTGGCTCACTATAACTTCTGCCTCTTGGGTTCAAGTGATTCTGCCTCAGCCTCTGGAGTAGCTGGGATTAGAGGCACTCGCCACACCACATCCTGCTAATTTCTCTTTTTAGTAGAGACGGGTTTTCACCACGTTGGCCAGGCTGGTCTCAAACTCCTCACGTGATCCGCCTGCCTCAGTTTCCCAAAGTGTTAATGATTACAGGCATCTTATTATGTCTTTTTTTTTTTTTTTTTTTTTTTTTTTTGTGAGATGGAGTCTTGCTCTGTTGCCAGGCTGGAGTGCGGTGGCATGATGTTGGCTCACTGCAAACTCTGTCTCCAGGGTTTAAGTGATTCTCCTGCCTCAGCCTCCCAAGTAGCTGGGATGACAGGTGCCCACCACCAAGCCCAGCTACTTTTTGTATTTTGGGTAGAGAGGGAGTTTTACCATGTTGGCCAGGCTGGTCTCAAACTCTTGACCTCAGGTAATCCACCCGCCTCGACCTCCCAAAGTGTTGGGATTACAGGCATGAGCCACCACGCCTGGCCCCAAAATGTCTTTCTAAAGAAGTGTGATGCTTTATATTTTGTATTCCAGGATCTTTCCTGATTTTCTTCTACATTGCTGGCCATCCCTTCTCAGTCCCCTTTGCTATTTCCTCTTCCTTTCCCCAGAATCAGTCCTAAAAATGTTGGAATTACTGCAAATCAGCCCTAGAAATGTTTCTCTACCTACACACACTCTCTAGGCTGTATTCCCAGTGTCACAGTTTTAAATTCCATCTCTGTGCTGATAGCTCTCCAATATGTTTCCAGCACAGAATATTCTTCTCAACTCTACACTCATGTGCAGTTGTCTGTATGACTTTTCTGTTGATATCAGATAGGCATCTCAAATTTGAAATGTGAGAAAACGTGAGATTCTCATTCTTGATTTCTTTACCGTACCTTCTCCATTGTCCTGTATTGGTACCAATTGTAATACTTTTGGCCCCAGTATTTAGGCAAAATTTTAGATTCATCTTGGACTCTTGTTTTTCTCTGATGCTCCACATCCAAACCATGAGGAAATCCCATTGACTCTACTCTCCTGAATGTGGCCTCTTCTTGCTGTTCAACCACTACCTCCTAGTCCAGGGATGACTGTCATAGCCTAGTGGTCTCCCTGCTTCCAGTATTGCTTTTCTCCTTTTTCTCCTTTTTCCAGACAGAAGCTAAAAGCTTAATATAGTCTCATCTCTACCCAGCAGTCCCTTAAAATATCAAATGTCATTCTGTTCAGAATCCTCCAGTAACTTGTCATCTCAATAGAAAACACTAAGCCTTTACCATGGTTTATGGAGCTGTACTTAGTTAATCCTGGAGATCTCCAACCTCACCACTTATTTCCTCTCACTTACTCCTTTCATATTATGCCTTCCATGCTGCCTACCTGGGTCTTTGCGCTAACTCTCTGTGCTTAGAAGAATCTTCTTGCTGATATCCATGTGACTCATTCCTCACTTTATTCAGTTCCCTCTTCCTAGACATTCTCTAACTGTTTTGTCTTAAAAAGCACCTCATTTATCTAATACCTTATATTTATTTTTCATAGTAATTATGACCACCTGACATTTTCATATTTGTTTAGATGCCATTATCCTGCTTGCCTCCACCCCCTACCCCAACACACACACAAGAATGTTGAACCTAAGAGAGGCAGCTGTTTAGTTTCTCACTGAATCTCCATTATCTAAAACATTGTGTAGAACTCAACAAATATTTGTTGAATGAATAATGAATGAACATTTTGATATATAAGCAGTATATAAGCTGTATAATAGTATGGTACAGGATTATTATCTCCATCTGACTGGTGCGTTGATATATCTCAAGTAGTTCCAAATGTGGGAGAAGGTAAAAAGAGAGTAGTATTTACTGCTGCTTCCCCAAGTCCTACCTATAATTTTTTACTTTTTTCAGAAAGAAACATTTAAAAGGGGCTTAAAAGCAGAAGCCATATCTGTGTCTTGGGTGAGGGTAAGACAAGATGGTGGATCCCCTCGCCATTACTACTGAGACCCACGGCTTATAAACCATCCTACTTACAATTTTTTATTTTGATGTATTTGCTTCTTGAGGGTCTTGTTCTGTCATCTGTTGAGGCTCACTGCAGCCGAGGCTCAAGTGATCTTCCCACCTCTGCCTCTCCAGTAGCTGGGACTATAGATGTGTATCACCACACCCAGCTAATTTTTTAAATTTTTTGTGGAATCTTACTATGTTGCCCAGGCTGGTCTTGAATTGCTAGGCTCAAACGTTCCTCCCGACTTGGCCTGCCAAAGTTCCGAGATTACAGGTTTAAGCAACTGTCCCCAGCGGTCATTTATAATTTTTTAAATGGACATAATTGACATGTGCCATAACAAAGACTGTCCCATTACGTTTTTTCCTGATTCAGTATAAAACTACAGCTAGAGAATTTGTTTTTATTCGTAAATGTGTAACTTTATATATAATAAATTGCTACTCAAATTTTTCCATAAATTTTGACTTTTTTCTCATCAAAAGTAGTTCAATTTTAAATTTTATGAAATGTATATACAGTAATTTTTTTGTATAGATTGTCATAAAATGTGTTCCATTAGAATGATATTTTACTTGTAGTAAGGTAATAAGGAGTTCTCTGAGCTATTCACATGTTTACTTTGGAATAAAATGCTGTTAAATCTAGATTACCAGCAGTCACCTTTTTAGTTTGTAGAAAATTGGAATACAGGTCTAAACTTTAAAAAAAAAAAAAAAAAAAAAAAGCTCTAATTTTTTAAGGACAAAACATAACTGACTGCTTTTCACTCCAAGTTATTGGGCTTTTTGCAGGACTTGGTGTTTTAATCTGTACCTTGGAATTTTACATGATTTTTTTTCCCTACCAGTTGAAATTTGATAATAGAATATTTGAAGTATAATTGCTTCTTGATTGTAGAACAAATGAAGTATAACCTGAATTCATTCTTTTCTGTTTCATTGTATACAAGAATTTTACCTATTGCTATTTAGAATAGAACGTGAATCTTACATCGATGGCACTAAGGAATATTTGGATTACTTAGACAAGTTTTTTCTTTTACTGTAAGTTAATTTTGTAATGCTCGTGCTGCAAGTAATACAGGAAATATGTTCTTTGTTTTATACCTGATTAGGTAGTTCAGCTACAGGAATGGATGATTAAAAGCATCAATAATAATACTGCTGTATGTGTAGAAGGAAAATTGATGTAAGTATACTATTTCAGTATTCTTTTAGTAAAACTCCAGTTATGTGTAAGCACTTAAGAGGTGATGCATGAGAAATAGCATCCTCCATAAAACAATGACCTAACAAGGTTATGAACTGAAGGCAAAAAAGTAAAATTACTGTGCAGGTCCTAGCCTTGTTGCTTGCTACCAGCTTTTTTGTTTTTGCATGTTTACTCAAGTTATTTTTAAAATAGTGACAGTGTTAATTTGTATAGTGCTTTTTTTTTTCTGAGGTGCTAATAAGTGGACTGGTATTATCTGCTTAATTATATATGATCAGTTAATATTTACTACATGCATTTCAGTCCAGATTCTTACATCTAAATTGGGACAACCAGATATAAATTACTGATCCAGAAAAGGAATCAAAATTACTTAAAACTTTGCCATACAGCTACATATTAAGTAATCATTGGCACTTTCTGGTTCTCCCTAAAGTGAGAGCATCACCAGGTAAGTGGGCTTTACCTAATTCTGCTACTCTATTAGCACCATTTCCTATTCTTCAAGGCCAGTTTCTTAGTGCTACAAATATTTGTAATGAAATGTAATAACTGTTCTCCAGCCTGGGTGACAGAGCGACTCTGTCTCAAAAAAAAATTATAACTGTTTAAGGTACTTATGTAAGTTTATAAGTTGAATGTGTAAAATCTGTATTGTCCATTCTTTATCTGTCTGCTTTGTGCACATTTCCTTACTATTAAAGATGCAGTGTAGATTGCCTTTGTTGGAATTCCATTGCTGCTGCCTACTATCTGTATTACCTGGGCAAGTTATTTATCCCGTCAGTCTGTTTCTTCATCTGTACAATGTGGATAATTGTATTACTTACCTTGTTAGTTGTGCTGAGGATTAAATGAAAGGCTAGAGAACAGTGCTTTTAGAATGTTATTTAAATGTTTCTTAAATAAGTAATTAAAGCAAAAAAGAATTGAAGAGAAGTAATACTGTATTAAGGTATAATATATGAGTTTAATCCTAGTTGACCAAAGAAAAGTAACTTGATTTCCTTATTCATCATGCTTATCATTAGTATGTTTATTATTATCAGTTACCTGATGAATGGGACAGTATTCATCATTTATCTAATACATCTTCATATTTTTTTCTATTTCATATTTATTCTTTAAAGAAATATGAAGAATAGATTTATGGGTCAGTGATTTGATAGGGTAATTTCTTTTTTCCTCACTTAAACCTCTTTTGGTACCTTCCAAAATGAAAGGTAAAAACATTTGGCTGTATAGCGAGGGTGAAAAAACACCAGATTAGCTGGAGCCAATCTACTTTTCTGCATAAAAACTAACACAGTATAGACCCTGAAGGAGAGGGACAGGGAGATCATCCTTTGGAAGCTTAGCATCAGTTAAGCTGAAGCTGCAAGTATTTATTGCCAGCGTCAGATACTGAGACAAGGCCTCTGCTCCCTTACTAATAATATTTTATAGAAGGGACATGGTTTGGCCACAGTATAGTTTTTTTGGTACAATATTGGGATTACAATAGCTAAGCAGTTGAGTTCTGCTTTAATGTTTGGCCCTCAAATATTTTGTAATTAGACTAACAACATTGTTAGTGTTGCTGTAGCTAGAGTGTAAAATTATTTTCTGTTAGAAATTTCTGTATGAATATTTGACCTTACCAAAACTATTTTTTTTCCTAGAGATATCACTAACATATATTGGCACAGTAATGTGATTATAGAGCGGATTGAGCACAACAAACTTAGGACTATATCAGGCAACATTTATATATTAAAAGGCATGATAGACCAAATTTCCATGAAAGAAGCAGGTAAATGACTGTCATTATTGATAAGTTATTTTAAGAAGTAAAGCAGTTAATCATGTTTCTCACAGTAATACACATTTTTTAACTTTTTAATTAGGTATTTTATAATTATGAATAAATCAAAACTAAAAATTAACTAATATGTAAAACTTGTATAATATTGGTAATTTTTTCTGATTTTTATCACTCTTCTTGACAATTTCTAATAAGTTATGTGATTTTTTTGTTTTTTTTTGGGAGATGGAGTCTTGGTCTGTCTCCCAGGCTGGAGTGCAGTGGCACAATCTCGGCTCACTGCAACCTCCACCTCCGGGATTCAAGTGTGATTGTTCTGCCTCAGCCTCCTGAGTAGCTGGGACTACAGGTTCTGCCACCATGCCCAACTAATTTTTGTACTTTTAGTAGAGACGGGGTTTCACCAGGCTGGTGCTGTGCATGACCACTTCCAACATGGCACAAAAAAATGATGCAATAGCAACTGCAGGTAGCTGTGGATAAATAAGCCTGCAACAACACCCGTGGTTTCCTGTGGCCAGTCCTTTTCATGCACAGGATCCACATACACCCCCAGGGAATGGACGCAGAGTGTTAAGAAGTTTGGGAATTTTTTTTTTTTTTTTTTTTTGAGTCTTGCTCCGTTGCCCAGGCTGGAGTATAGTGGCATGATCTCAGCTCACTGCAACCTCCACCTCCTGAGTTCAAGCGATTACTTGTGCCTCAGCCTCCTGAGTAGCTGGGACCACAGGCATGTGCCACAACGCCCAGCTGATTTTTGAGACAGTGTCACCATGTTGGCCAGGCTGGTCTTGAATTTGTGACCTCAGGTGATCCACCCACCTCAGCCTCCCAAAGTGCTGGGATTACTGGTGTGAGCCTCTGCGCCCCGCCTGATTTGTGTGAGTTTTAAAATATCAAATGAAATACTCCTTGTTTACAAGGAATTATGTTATAAGAATATAATTTAACTCCCTGATTCCTCTCTTTGTTGAACCTACCTGGCACAACCCCAGTCCTGGTATAACCTGATTTTCTACCTATGCCTTGCACACAGCTGAATATAACTGGAGAAAAACACATCCAAGTAGTCTAAATTTATGTTTACTAGCAACAAGTTACAGTCCCTTAGTGGTTTCTTGGTGCTGCTTGGTATCCTACCATATTTCCCTAATTCATTCACTCTCCTGTCCTTCCTGATGACTCCTTCATATTTTGAGAAATCTCCAATTTGCCCTCTCTCAGGTGGGCAAAGTAGGGGAGAGGGCAGAGCACCTGAGCAAGAGGAACAATCAGAAGGATATTTCTTTACCACGTCTACTCACCTGCTTGGATCAGCACCAGCTTTTATTATGGATGAACTAGCACGTTACTGTCTGTCAGCCTCTCCATTTGTACACTAGCTCTCATTTTCTCTTTTACTCAAGGACGTTATTCCAGTAACACTCCCTTCTCCTTTTTTTTTTTTTAAATTTCTGTTTTAACCACATTTCTCCTTTTAGCCAGTATTGCTCTCATTTGTAGCAAAACAACTCATATAGTTTGTTTATATTTACTTCTGTAAATCTAATTTCTCTTGAATTTTCTTCCATTTTTTTTTCTTGAACTCTCTTTAACCTCCCCGGTTCTTCACCAAAACAACCCGTATCAAAGTCACCAGTGGCCTCCACATTGCTACATTCAGTATACACTTAACAGAGTTAATCATACTTACCTTTTTGAAATACTTAGTTTCTCTAATACCATATTCCAATTTCTGTGCTGCCTCACTGCCTGCTCCTTCTTAATTTCTTTGTGTATTTCTCCATTTTTTTCTAATAATGGGGTAGCTTGGGGCTCTTAATACACTCTGTGGTATGCTGATTCCTTTTAGTCTTTAAATATAATTTATATGATGATGAATGCGAATTTTATATCTCAAAGCAGGACCTCTCCCGTTAGTACCCAATTCGTTTTTGACATCTCCACTAGGATGTCTGTAGGCATTTCAAACTTAATATATCTAAAACCTGATCTTTTCCCTTAAATTTGCTAAACCTTTAGTATTCCCCATCTTTCCATGTATCAGTAGCCAGAATTCTTGGAGGCATCCTTAAATTCTCCATTTCTCTCATACCCACATCAGTGTGTGGGTCAGTACATCCTATTAATGTATCTCCAAAATATATCCCAAACTGAGACCTCTGCAGCATCACTATAGTCCAGACTTTCCTCATAATTTGTCTGGATCATTACAGTGGCCTCCTAACTGGTCTCATTCTTTCTCTCCTCACTCTTCCACAGGCTCGTCTCAAAACAGCAGTTTGCTTTAGCAGTCCTGTTAAATAAATTAGATCCTGTAGCCCCTCTGCTTGGAATCTTTCCATAGCTTCTCATCTTGTCCAAAGTAAATGGCCAGTTCTATAAAATGACTCTAAGGCCTTATGTTATAATCTCTCATGCTTCTTACTGCCTCTGTTGCCCATGTGAGTGGCCTCCCAAGTTCTAACCCCTCCTCATGCCACTTCAGTTGTTTCAAACAGGCCAGGTATACTCTTGCCTTGCACTTTATGTTTTGTTTCCAGTATTCTAACCCCATATTACTACATAGCTCAATCAGTTTGTTCAAATGATGCTATTTCATTGAAGACTTCCCTGATTATCCTTTTTTAAATTGCTGTTCACCCCTCTACTCCCCCATGAACATATCAATACACCTATCCGCCCATCCCTGCATAACCATCTAACAAACAATATATTGTACTTATTGGTTAGCTTTTTTTTCCACATTAGAAGGCAAGTTCCATGAGGATAGGAGTTTTTGTCTGCTTTGTTTACTGCTGAATTCTGAATATCTATAATAGTACCTGGTGCATATTAAGCAATAAGTGCATATTTCTTGAATGATTTAATGAATTAATTATATCTCTTTAAAATTCTAGGCTTTTAAATACTTTTGTTGTTGTTGTTTATCCTTAAATAGGATATCCAAATTACCTCATAAGGAAATTTATGTTTGGATTTCCAGAAAATTGGAAAGAGCACATTAATAATTTTCTGGAACAGTTAAGGTAAAATGTTGTTTTATGTTTTTAGAAGTCAACTTTATTGAGATACCTTTACAGTTTATTATGTGTGTGCATAATTTACATTTAATTATGTGTGTGCCACCATGTCCAGCTAATTTTTGTATTTTTAATAGAGATAGGGTTTCGCCATGTTGGCCAGGCTGGTCTCGAACTCCTGCCTGGCTGCAAGCGATCCACCTGCCTCAGCCTCCCAAAGTGTTGTGATTACAGGCATGAGCCACTGTGCCTGGCCTGAGGTACAGTTTACATTTAATTAAATTCACCTGTTTAGATATTTGTTTGTTTGAAATACCATTTTTTTTTTTTTTATTTTTATCTGAGATGGAGTCTCACTCTGTCACCCAGGCTGGAGTGCAGTGGCAGGATCTCGACTCACTGCAAGCTCCGCCTCCCGGGTCCCATGCCATTCTCCTGCCTCAGCCTCCCGAGTAGCTGGGACTACAGGCGCCCGCCACCACGCCCGGCTAATTTTTTTTGTATTTTCAGTAGAGACAAGGTTTCACCATGTTAGCCAGGACGGTCTCGATCTCCTGACCTCGTGATCCACCTGCCTTGACCTCCCAAGGTGCTGGGATTACAGGCCTGAGCCACTGCACCCGGCCGAAATGCTAGCTTTGAAGTTTGCTTTGGTCTGTGAAGCATTTCAGAAGCAATAACATTTTACTAGAACTTCTGTCGAATTTAGTAAATCTCAAAGGAAAATAAAACTTTTGACATATGTCAAAGAGTAATTCTTAATCATTTACCCTTCAAAAGGCATGCAGTTATTAAATACTAATGTGCAGTTCTTCCTTCTTTTTTTCATTCATTTTCTCAGTAGTTATGGAGTGTCTGCTGCTTTACAGACACTCTAGTTGATACTGGTGAAACAAGAATTTGATTTATTCTTGCCCTTGTGGAACTCATAAGGGATACAGACTTTAAACTTAATCACAGCACAAATATAATAATTGATAATGGAGGCTGGCATTTTTTTTCTGTAAAGGGCATATTCTGTAAAGATAATATTCTTGCGGGCATATTGCCTCTATTGCAGCTATTCAGCTCTGCCATTGTAGCAGAAGAGCAACCATAGATAGTATATACTTGAATTAGCATGGCAGTGTTTTAATAAACTTCATTTACAAAAACAGGCAACTGGCAGTTGTCCTATAATATCAGTTTAAGTAGGAATTTTAAGAGCATCTAGTGGGAAGCAGTTTGCAGATCATATTTGAGTCCTTTGACTTAAGCTGTTACACCTCAGTTCTTTGTGAAGGAAGGGAGTGGAAGCCATGAAGGATTAATAATGTAAGATTAAAGATACCCTGCCTGGGTGGAAAGAGCTTTATGGGAGGGGTTTTTATTTGTTTATGAAGATTTTGTTTTGTTTTTTTGAGAATCAATGCTAAGGAAAAATAATATAATTGTTTTTAGGGCTGGTGAAAAGAACAGGGAGAAGACGAAACGAAAACAGAAAATTGGAAGATCTGTTCGTGACATAAGAAAATCAATGAAAAATGATGCACAAGAAAACCAAACAGATACCGTTCAAAGAGCCACCACCACTTATGATTTTGATTGTGATCAATTGGGTATGTTTTGTCTTTACTTCTCTGTTGGTACAGTGGTAAGTTCTTACATGGTCTAAATTGTTTATGGTTTATAATGTGTATAGTATTGTGTTCTTTGACTTATACTGCCCCCACATTCCTGCTTCTTCACTACTAAATGAGAAGTAACTATAATACAAATTAATCATGGTCAGTATTCAGCTTGCTTCATCAAATTTCACCTTTGGCTGGGCCCAGTAACTTATGCCTGTAATCCCAGCATTTTGAGAGACTGAAGTGCAAGGATCGCTTGAGCTCAGGAGTTCGAGATCACCCTGGATAACATGACAAGACCCTGTCTCTACTAAAAGTCAAAAAAATTAGCCTCCCATGGTAGCACATACCTGTGTTCCTATCTTCTTGAGAGGCTAAAGTGGGAGGATCGCTTGAGCTCAGATGGTTGAGGCTGCAATGAACCGTGTTTGTGCTACTAGACTCCAGTTTGGGCATCGGAGTGAGACACTGTCTCAAATAATAATAATAATAATAATAATAATAATTACCTTTTTATTAATCAGAATATCAAAGAACACTGGTAAACATATTATGAAAGATGATTGTTCTTTTAATTTCCTTGACCCAAAGTATTTAAGCTGCCAACCTACTGCAAACCTATTGTAAAGACATATTTTATTTTTGTACTAAATTTCATTGCTCCAAATAGGCAAAATCTGTTTCCTTTCATGGAGGAAATGGAATTGAAGAAAATGGTTTTCTTGAATGACCATTGCCATAAGGATAGATTGCAGAACTGTTTTTTTTTTTCTCTTTTTTAATAAGGAGACCAACTTGCCAGAGCAGAACTGTTTTGTATCAGCTCTTTGCCATCACTATAGTCTGCTTCACCTGTGTAAAAATGTATGAACATTAACTTACAGCTCTTTCTAAACAATATAGATGAGTAAAAGTTACTAAAATATGTTGTAAACATTTCTGCTGATTTTGCCTTAACCTTGTAACTTAAGAGCTTTACAGAACTTCCAAAACTTGAAAAAGAGTTCAAGAATCCTGCCAAAAACATAGCACCATACTGGATATAAATGTACCTGTATCCTATTCTAACCACTCCTCAACCCCCATTTGAACTTCCACCCTGAAACTTTGCTTATCCTTTCTAATGCAGAGAAAGGAATAAATTAAATATGCAGATGGCTGCTTCCCCAGAGCTAGCAAAAAGTCACTTACCATTGCCCTAGTTCCTTCTGAACCCTTCCTCTTTTTATCAAAAGTCATCCTATTTTCCCTAAATTAGGCATATTGCTTGAGCATCTTGAGTATGCTGGAACCTTGGGGCTTCAGCACCTGCTCTCTACTTTTTTACTCCTAAAACAAGAGAATCTTTAACAGTATATCTCACTTTTAATCATTTATTAGTCTTTAGTCTTGGTTCTTATCTCTTCCTGTACCCCATTTCACTTAGAGCCAGCACTTATTAGGGATTTGATCTTAATTGCGAATATTATCAGTGAAGTGTTTAAGAAAGCTAGTGGCAAGAGAAATGAATAAAAATTTAAAAGACTAAAGTTTGATAACTATTTTACATACCAGCTTATCAGCTGTGTCCATAGGAAAATCACTCAATCACTCAGCTCTTTTTTTTTTTTTTTTTTTTTTTCATAAACTTGCTTCCGCTTTACTCTGTTGACTCGTTTTTTTTTTTTTTTTTTTTTTTGGAGATAGTGTGTTGCTCTGTCTCCCAGGCTGAAATACAGTGGTGCAATCATGGCTCACTGCAGCCTTGACCTCTTTGGTTCAAGTGATCCTCCCACCTCAGCCTCCAGAGTAGCTGGGACTCCCGGCATATAGTACTGCACCTGGTTTGTTTTTTATTTCTTGTAGAGATGGGGTCCTACTATGTTGCCCAGGCTGGTCTCCTACTCCTGGCCTCAAGCAGTCCTCCCACCTTGGCCTCCCGAAGTGCTGAGATTATAGACATGAACATAGCACCTGGTGTCAACATTTTTAAAGTGCTTTCCATGAACCTTGGTCTGTTAAGTTTTAGGAACTTAGAGATGAATAAGGCATGATTCCCGCCCCTCCTACCCCCACGGATCTTAGTTTAGGGGCAAATATTAATGTATTCTGTTAGGATTATATCATTTTTCTAGTGTGATTCATTAAATCTTTGTTTAATGAAACTTAGACACTATCTTCATATCACATAAGTTATTTTGAGTGGTGGTTGGTTGGGGCTGTTGTTAATTTTATTGTCATTGCACTTTGCATGGAAAAAACAAAACCACAACTAACATTATATAGCTAAGATTATGTAAAGGTACCAACCTGAATTAATTTAAGATAATGTAATTTTATGTATGTGTTTTAATGATTTGCCTAAAAAGTACTTGTATATCATATTATTGCTCTTAAAGCACTCTATCTCTGTTATTACACTTACCAGAGTATATGATAAATGACCTATCATAATAGAAGCCTCCTTCATTATATGGTAATATTTTCAAGAGCAAAGACTAGTCAGTACACTTTTAAAGTATAGCTTCTAGAAGAATAACAAAAATGTTTTTATACTTTTTATGAATCTGTTTTAACTTACCTAGAATTCCAGCTTAGTAACTGTTTGTTGAGCGTATATTATATACTGTATAATTTAGTTTTGCTCAAAATTTTAATTACAGAAATTTAGTTATACATTGGAGTACACAAACTAGTTGAAACATTAACTTACATTAACTACATACATGAAGAAATAGAAGAGCAACAGTTATTAGCTTTCTATTTATTTGATGTGCAGTTAGGATGAACAGGAATTTTTATTTACAAAATGGATTAACCTTACTATTTTGTCTTTAGATGTGACTAGGAAGATCCAAAACAGATGGTCATGAATAATATGGCTGTCTAGGCTTTTTAAAATTTTTTTTGAAGGAAAAAAAGTGATTTGAACAAAATATAGCCCTATACAGAGTGATTCTGTCCAAATAAAATTGCTTTATATCCTAGTCAAATTATAACAAATATTTATGACAGAGGGATTAGACAGATTATCATTATTATTTCTGAGACAGGGTGTTGCTCTGTCACCCAGGCTGGAGTACAGTAGCACAATCACGGCTCACTGCAGCTTCGACCTCTCTGGCCCAAGCGATCCTCCCACCTCAGGCTCCCAAGTATCTGGGACCATAGGCATGCCCCAACCTTTTATTTTTTGTAGAATCAGTATATCACTATTTTGCCTAGGCTAGTCTTGAACTCCTGGGCTCAAGCAGTCCTCCTCCCTTGGCCTCCCAGAGTGCTGGGATTACAGGCGTGAGCCACCACACCTAGCCTCAAAGTTAATTCTTCATGTAGAAAAGCAGCTTCCCTTTTATGTAACCATTTATTGAAATCTCCATCTTTGTACTCATAGAACTGAAGAGTAATAAGCACAGTGAGTCGCCAGGAGCTACAGAATTAAACATGTGCCACAGTAATTGCCAAAATAAACCAACATTAAGGTTCCCAGATGACCAAATAAATAATACTATTCAAAATGGAGGAGGAGATGACTTATCTAATCAGGTAAGGCTTTATTGTACACTGTATAGTACAAGCTGATATTTAGAGGGGTGATTTACTACTGAAAAGGTTTGCAACCATATCAGGGACATGAATTCTGTTTTGTTTTTTTTTTTTCTTTTGAGATGGAGTCTCCCTCTGTTGCCCAGGCTGGAGTGCAGTGGCGTGATCTTGGCTTATTGCACCCTCTGCCTCCTGGGTTCCAGTGATTCTCCTGCCTCAACCTCCACCTCCTGGGTTCGAGTGATTCTCCTGCCTCAGCTTCCCGAGTAGCTGGGACTACAGGCGTGCGCCACCACGCCTGGGTAATTTTTGTATTTTTAGTAGAAGCGGGATTTTACTATATTGGCCAGGGTGGTCTCAAACTCCTGACCTTGTGGACCCACCTCAGCCTCCCAAAGTGCTGGGATTATAGGCGTGAGCCACCACACCTGGCCATGAGTTCTGGTTTTCAAGTATCAGCTTTTCATTAACTTGGGGACTGAATGTCTTCATATTTATTTTCCTTGTCTCTCAATGAAAAAATGCAGGCAACAATAAAAGTTTTAGCTTTTAGAGTAAAGCTTAAATAAAGCATATTTTTAAAAGCACTTGAAAAACCACAAACTGTTAAATTAATATAGAAAATATGTAAGATAATGGATACCCAGATGTTGCTTATAGCACTCAGGGTCTGGCAACTGGATTTCTGACTGTGTCCACTAATGAAATTTGTGGAACTGTAAGTACCTAGAAATTTGTATGCTTGATGCATACTATGAAAATGCTTCAGATCATGTTTAGGTAGCAGTTTTAAAATAAAACCTAGGTATCTTTTTGTTTTGAAGGAATTAATTGGAAAAAAAGAATATAAAATGTCTTCAAAGAAACTAAAAATTGGTGAAAGAACAAATGAAAGGATAATAAAAAGTCAGAAGCAAGGTAATATATCTTTAATGGTTTTTTTAATGATAAGCAGAAAGCTACTATTTGAAATGTTTTTAATATGATAAAAGTGATCTTGTAAATTTCCTCATGTAAAATGGCAAATTATATAATGGTTTAAATGTTTGGTTTTGTTATTTTTACATAAGATGATTTTCATAATAAAATAGCCCTTTTAAAAACCATCTATACTTACAGGTTTGCCTTCTTTAATCTGGGTACTAAAATATTTGTTTAGATCACAAAATTATATATCATTTAAAATACGCTTACAGGAATGTGTAAAGAGTGAATCCTTTTATGAATTTACTACAATAATTTAGTTTTAAGTGTGGATTTTCAGAGTGATTTAATTGGAATCTTGCATGCTATAATTTACAGCCTTTCCTCTAAACATTAGCAAGTTTACAGTTTCATGTTGAGCTAAATCCATTCGTTTTATAGCATTTTTTCTGTTTTATTTCCTCTTATAAGTGAAAAGAAGTGAAAGTGAAGAACATTTATTTGTTTGAAGAAGATAGGAAAGCAGTGCTGCTTTATACTTCCGAGTTCATACTCGGTTAAAGTATCCAAGATAGCTGGATCTTTATTAAATAATTTATTAAAATTAACAAATACTCTGGAAATATTGTTCAAAATTAGAATGTTGAAAATTTTCAAATTCCCAATTGAACATTTGAATTGGATTTATATGAGAAGTTAGAAGAAAATACTTTTCTCAGAATTTGAAGATATATGATGCCAGTGGAAAATCTTGCAGACACTTTCTAAATTATTTTGATTAGTACCTTTTTCCATGGATTGTAATTTAGAGGCTTCTTTTCTCCCCAGCATTCAGTATTATCTATCAGTCTCATTTTGTCAGTCATCTTGTAAACAATAATATATGGAGGTTGTTGTAATATGTTTCTATGACAGTGGGATGATTTGCAGTTTATATGTATTTCTAATTACAGTTGGATAGTTTCAGTTAATTTGACTTCTCATTACTTAGGTTTTGAATTGATGAATTGTTCTCATTTTAATTTGCTTTCTTTAATGAAAAGGTATAATATAAGATTCTCAGGTTGTTCTGTTTTGCTTGTTTTGTACTTCATGGTGTTTGGGGGAATTCATTTTGAGTGTGTTTCTATGACCACCATTGGCGATAAAAGTGGAACCATGCAGAGGAAGTTCCATGTCCTCCTAACTAGCAGAGCCCATATAATGTATACTTACTTAGTAAGGTTTCAGTGACTACTGGTTTTCTTATATCTTCTGAATATTTTACCTCCAGGGCTTTGATTTAACAAGTATTTACTTATTGCCTACTGTATATGTAAAAGGCTCTGTATTAACTCCGGCAAAAAAAAAATAAAATAAAACCATACAGATAAAGTTCTAACCATTAATTATTTTTTCCAGTCTGATTGAAAGACAAGTGTGCAGTTATAATACATGTCTCACTGTCAAACATGGCATTATTTTAAAGTATTCTGGAAACTTGAAGAAGAGCTTTCATTCCGTATAGGGAATGTGTACAAGTTTGTACACTAGGTGGGTTAGAGAATAAAATCGAAGCAGGTAGTGATTTTGTTTATAGATGAATGAAGAACATTTTCAAAGCAGAGTGGACATTAATGAAAGTAGAGAACCAAGAAAATCTGAGGAATTGGGATTTTTGTGGTTCTGAACATAGAATATAGTGGAGATTTTGACAACAGGGAGAGATTGGAACTATGTGGAAGGCCAGGCAAAGGAGCTTATTTATATGTCTACTAAAAGACTGTGAGAAGTCACTGTCAGGTTTGTATAAACAATAGTATATGTTTACAGTTGAAGGGGCAGTGGTCTGAATAGACCTGGGCTTCAGAAAGATCAAAATGACAGGAGGTTATACAGTGTAGCTTGTGTATAAAAATAGTGTCTTTTCTCTGTGAAAATATATTTTCTGTGCTTATATTTGTTTATAACTAATTTGAGATTTTGGTCTTTGGTTTTGTCTTATGAAATTAAAGAGACAACTGAAGAATTGGATGTATCCATTGATATTCTAACCTCAAGGGAACAATTTTTCTCAGATGAAGAAAGAAAATACATGGCCATCAATCAGAAGAAAGCTTATATTTTAGTAACACCACTTAAATCTAGAAAAGTGATAGAGCAAAGATGCATGAGGTATAATCTGTCCTCTGGCACCATTAAAGCAGTAACAGATTTTGTAATACCAGAGTGTCAAAAAGAAAGTCCCATCAGCAAGTCCACGGAGACTTTAGAAAATACATTTGAAGGTCATAAAAGTGAAAACAAGGAAGATTGCAATGAACGTGACTTACTTACTGTCAACCAGAAAATAAAAATACGTAACCTTGAAAAGGAACAAATGCTCACCTCTGACATTAAGAAAAATACCAGACTATTACCAAAATTGAAGAAAATAGAAAATCAGGTAGCTATGTCATTTTATAAGCATCAGTCCTCACCAGATTTGTCAAGTGAAGAAAGTGAAACAGAAAAGGCAATTAAAAGGAAAGCTGAAGTTAAGAAAACCAAAGCAGGAAACACCAAAGAAGCAGTGGTTCACCTGAGAAAGAGCACAAGAAACACAAGTAATATTCCAGTGATTTTGGAACCTGAAACTGAAGAAAGTGAATATGAATTTTATATCAAACAAAAGAAAGCTAGACCTTCCGTCAAAGAAACTCTTCAGAAGTCTGGTGTTAGGAAAGAGTTTCCAATTACTGAGGCAGTAGGCTCTGATAAGACAAATAGGCATTCCTTAGAATGTTTACCTGGTTTAATTCAGGATAAGGAATGGAATGAGAAGGAGTTACAGAAACTTCATTGGTAAGTAGTTAGATTTCATTCTGAAATATCTACAGAGCAGCCACAAGACAGTTAAAGACATAAAAACAGCAATAAGGGGTTAACATGGAAGATGTCATCAAAAGAATTGGGAGAAATTACAATTTGTACAGGGAATGGAGATAGAATACAGATAACTTCTAGTGGTATTTTGTGGTCATCTCTAATATGAGGAAATTATGAGGAAAGCCTAAGTATGAGGAAAGTAAAAGTGACCTTCTTTCATTCCCATATAATATTTCAAGATAGCCAAATGGTACTCTCTCACGTAACTTCATGTTTTAAGAAATTTGTTGTTTTATTTTGTTTTGTTTTGAGTCTTGCTCTGTCGCCCAGTTTGGAGTGCAGTGGCGCAATCTCGGTTACTGCAACCTCTTCCTCCCGGGTTCAAGCGATTCTCCTGCCTCAGCCTTCTGAGTAGCTGGGACTACAGGCACACGCCGCCATGCCTGGCTAATTTTTACATTTTTAGTAGAGACAAGGTTTCACCATGTTGGTCAGGCTGGTCTTGAACTCCTGACTTAATGATCCATCCACCTTGGCTTCCCAAAGTGCTGAGATTATAGGCATAAGCCACCGGACCCGGCCTAACAAATGTTTTGTAATTAACTTTACTGTTATAAAACCTTAAAGCTGAATTCAAATTTGTAGGTTACTTCATGTAGTCTTTTTCCTTTATAGGGAATAAAATAGAGTTTCAAATTGATGATTTTTTTCCAAGGTTTTATATTTAGAACAGAAATTCAAGAAAAGCTCAGTTAAGAACCTGCTCTTTCATTCCTTCATTAAACATTTACTTATTTGGGTGCCTCCTATATGCTACGTAGTTTGGAATGTTTGGAGATACAGAAATAAAATAGACAAGGTTATTTTCCTCAGGGAGCAATTTAGTAGGAAAGACAGATAATACAAAAGTAAGCCAGTAAATAAAAAAAATTAATTGTGATACATTCTGTGAAAGAAACAAACGAAATTGATCAGGAAAGTTCTCTTTTGGTTGATGCCACTTAAATGGAGATCAAAGGATGAAATGATGTCAACCATATAAAGAACTAGAGAAACAGCATTCCAGGAACAGAGACAACCTAAACACAGGTCCTAATGCTAGGAATATGTTGATATGGGAGGAACTAAAATAAGACTACTGTTATTAGAGCATAATGAGTTGTAGGGGAATGGCTTGAGGTGTGAGCAGAGAGAGGCTGTGACTATATTGGGCATAACCTTCTGGGTCATGATTAGGAGTTTTGTTTTTAGGTGTAATAAAAAGACATTTAAGCATGGCATGATATAGTTTGAGAAGATGCCTTTGGGGAAGTAGACAAGGCATTAATTGTGGGGTTGTTGGAGTAGTCCATTGTTGTCTGCACTGATATGGGAACTGAAAAAATGGAGAAAATTGGATTAAATCTAGCAATATTTGTACAATATCAAATACAAATCCTATCAATTATGTGGCACCTGACCTAAATAACTTGGTAGATGGTGGTGTGGCAAATATTTGAGGAAAGAATAAGTTGAGATTGGCAATTGAGTTTCTTTTTAGACAGTTCTATGTGGATTGTCTTTTAAGAGGCAGGTTTCAGTGAGATCTAGGCTACAATATAACTTTGGTAAGCATAAAGATGGTATTTGAATCCAGTAGATTGAACTGATGAGAAAACATAAGGAGATGGTGTGAAGAGAATAAGGGCATAGTCCTGAGCTCTGAGAAAAGTATTTAAAGGAGGGAGAGGAGTAGGCCAGTAAGGGGGAAGAACCCAGGACTAAGTCATATTGCAGAGACCAATAGTGAGAGTCTTTCAAAAGTGTGGGAGTGATTTGTTGTGCCTATTGCTGCTGATAAATCAGGTATGTTAAGAATTGGATATGGCTACATAGATTTAAGTTTCAGTGGTCTAGTAGTATTGGAAACCAAATCATAGTTCAGTGGTTAAAAGTGAATAGAAGGGTAAAGAGACAGCCTAGGTGTAGACAACACAAGAAATTTGGCAATGATGGGAAATGAGAACCACAGAGATAATAGAAGAGAATGTGAAGATAAAGGAAGATGTTTGGTTGCTTACTTGCTTATTTGTTTGTAAGATGGCTGTTGCCAGAGTATGATGGTATGATGATGGAAGTGATCTAGTGAAAAGAAAGGAAGATGTGATTGATAAAGGCAAGAAGAACACAGAACTAGACCACATCTAGTGTTCTACTGCCTTGTGTACTCCCCAGACTTAGAACAATTATAATTCATTTCATATCTGCCTTTAGAAACATTCTTCCATCTCTGTGAAACTCTACTCTTCCTTTTTAAATTTTCTAAATATTCCTTCTCTGTCTTAATTTCAGGCAGAAAAGGCAATCTTCCTTCTTATTCCCCAAAATTATTTTTCTTGTTTGCTTTCTTGCTATAGTATCCCCCTCAGTGATCTTTTGTCCTCACAAAACTCTAACTTTCTTTTTTGTACAATGAGTCCCCAGTCTGTATCTCTGGCCCTGAATTCTTATATTTAGATTTGTATTTCCCTTTGTCTGCTGGGCATTACTATATAAACCTCACCTATGGGTCTGACGTAATATGTCAAAAGCAAACTTATTTTCCCCTGCTTGCCTACTTTGCTAACATTTCTTTTTCTGGAAATGTAATTCTTTCCATCAACTACATTTAAACTTTGTCATTATTGATTTTTTTAAAAATTCAATTAGTTGCCAAAAAGCTATTCCACAGAGTCATTCTATCTGCACCTTCTTTTCTTGACGCTACCCTTTTAGGTCTTTGACGCCTTTTGCCTGAACTATGGAAGTAGTCTTATTTGTAGTTTCTTCTTTTTGCCTCTGTAACCTTTTTTATAAGTCTCCAGGTTATTCTTTATACATTGTTGTGGTTCTGATCAAAAACTTGCATTGCATTCTTACTAATCTTCAGATTGTGTAAAGATTCTTCTGCCTTTCATTGAGAGCAATCCGTATTATAGGCTTGATTATCCTTTCCAGCTATATCCCTTATCATTTCCTTATAATAAAGCTTCTCAACCTTTACTGTATATTCAGATCATCTCAGGAGATTTTACAATGCCTGAACTGTAGAGATTCCAGTTCCCAGTAAGGTGGAATAAGTACACTCCCCTCTATTTCTTCTCTGCAGCTATAAAACCTAGACAGAGGCTGGTGCGGTAGCTCACGCCTGTAATCCCAGCACTTTGGGAGGCTGAGATGGGTGGATCACCTGAGGTCAGGAGTTCAAGATCAGCCTGGCCCACATGGTGAAATCCTGTCTCTACTAAAAATACAAAAATTAGCTGGGCATGGGGTGCATGCCTGTAATCCCAGCTACTCCAGAGGCTGAGGCAGGAGAATCTCTTGAACCCAGGAGGCAGAGGTTGCAGTGAGCCGAGATTGTGCCATTGCACTCCAGCCTGGGCAACAAGAGCGAAACTCTGTCTCAAAAATAAAAGAAATGACATTGTCCTTTGGTGAAGGTGAGTTACTATCACCCAATAGTCAGACAAGGACATACTAGAGAATTCACGTGGTGGGAAACAAACAGGCCTGCTATATGTTGCTGCATTTGCTAGGAGCCTTGGTTGAAATTTCTGTTTGACCCTTGCTTATCTCCCCAGCTTTAACCTGATCATCAACAAACTAACTTCAGTTTTTCAAAAAGCCTGATAGAAACAGGGATCCTCGTAGGTTAGCTAAAACTAAGATTCTCTGCTTGTGAGCAAAAAGGTATAAATTCTGGGTGGTAAACACGGGTTATGGTGGAGGCACACATTGGCAGCTACAGGTGTCAGATTCATAAAAAAGATGGTCAGGGCCGGGCGCAGTGGCTCACGCCTGTAATCCCAGCACTTTGGGAGGCCAAGGTGGGCGGATCACGAGGTCAGAGATCGAGACCATCGTGGATAACACGTGAAACCCTGTCTCTACTAAAAATACAAAAAAATTAGCCAGGCATGGTGGTGGGTGCCTTAGTCCCAGCTACCCTGGAGGCTGAGGCAGGAGAGTGGTGTGAACCCGGGAGGCGGAGCTTGCAGTGAGCTGAGATGGCGCCACTGCACTCCAGCCTGGGCAACAGAGAGAGACTCCGTCTCAA